CGCGACAGAAACGCACTACGGCCAACAATTAGCCAAAGATAATTTTTGCTTGGCTTGCGAGAAGCACACAAGATTTTTCCCTACCAATTCCACAACTTGAGAAGTGAAACACCGAATAACGCGTATAATAAAGTGTAGAAAATTAGCATTTGGTTGGGTTGCTGATTCAATTTTGTTAGGTTTAGGTTCCATAAAATTTGCAAAATAGCAAAAAATAAATATTTCCGATATGCCATGAAAGTTTGATGCTCACGAAACATAACTACAATGTATCAGTATAACCACACGTCAGTGGCTCAGCGTTTGCGCGACTTGTTCAACTCTTGACCGCGTAAGCTGTTAGTGAATTAAATCAATTTAATTATGAAATATTGCAGAAGTCCAAGCCTGATGATTAGGGTGCAGGTGACACTCACTCTCTTGATACGATAGTTGATGTTGAAGCGATGATTGTTGAACGCATTACTTCCTTTTGTGTTTCAGAAGAAGAGAACCAAGCTGAAATTCCAATATCCAGTTCTGGTGCTTCGAATTTTAAATGATGCTAGGATCAATGATTGTTAGGCTTTAAAAGCGAAGGTTTTCCCAAAAGAAACGTTTATTTAGTGAACTACTTCTCGGATCCAGTTTGTTCAAGAATCAAGTCAAGCAAGTTGACAATCGGTCCGGAAATAAAGTCAAGCAGCTTAGTCGACTATCTCTACAGGTTCGTCGTAACAGACGAATACACGATCCAACATAACTGTAAAATAAAACAAAGCTTTTAGCTTCCAACTTTTGAAAGTTAATTATTATGGCTGCCAAATATTTCAATAATAGCCGTCATCAACAAATAATGAAGCAATAAACCACACACCTCAAAAAAGCAGGTAAGTAGAGAAATTATAATTAAGTTGTTGAGGTCTCGAGCCAAAAGAGATGCAGACGGTCCGCACCAGAGTAATAGTTATTCTATTGGAACAGAACAGGGTCATCCCATTTTAAGAGGCAAATAAGAGGCCAAGTATAGGAAAAACTAGGAAAGTAGAAGGGAAGGCAAACTCCGAAGCAATAATAATTTTAGTTGGAAGAACTCGGTTCTTATTATCAAGGTAGGAATATATATTGAGGAATTCAATTGAAGTTTATGAGCCTGCGGCCAAGGTGGTTACACTACAGTAAAGCCTGTAAAGGGCAATGCCCAAGATTAAGTCGGTGTCTGTCTTCTAAGTAAAGTAAGAGCGAACATTTATTTAAACTTAAATAATCATTACGAAAACTGAGACTGATCATAATAGCGAAAAAAAAAGAATTAAGAAGGTATGGCGGTAAATACAGACTGCTGAAGTGCGTCCAAGAAAATCGATGCTTTCACCATCAAGTTACAATACCCACCTTTTATTTACAAGCCCATGTCTATCAATAGGTATGGAGAAAAAGAACTCCAAAATGTTACTACAATAGAAATAAGGAAATTTCTAACACGATTTAAGTCATCAATAGTAAAACATAATTTCTGGAACAGGAAGGTCAATGCTTACACAAACTCACTTTGCAGAAATGGTCTTCACTCAATTCGCCATCGACGCCGTAACAACTCATCCTGACAACACAAACTTAAATTTAACTCACAGTTCACAATTAGAGAATAAAATTAGAGTTATTTAGAGTTAATAAAGCCAGAGATTGTATGGGAGCACAACCACGTCACGATGCCTGCAAGCAAAGACTGCAAGCATGGCACGCGTCAGCTCGGCAGCAGTCGATCAACTCTGCACGCTGCTGGCTCCTTTTAGTCTATTATTATCCCATAAATTTCCGCATGCTGGTTATATTCTAGGCCATAATATTAGTTAGATCAATGTAAATGACCACGCGAAAGAGAGTATTTCTATTAATTCTTAAGGTAAGATTTGCACAAGAGCAATACATTCTCAACTTACTCCCGGCGGGAACAAATGCTTTACTTCTCTGAGGGTTGCCACGAAACTACAGAATTATTCCTCTTTCCTAGAGTAATGCCAGTTAATACTACAATGTTACTTCGCCATTACTATCATCAATCAGATAGCATACAGTTACTCCCCCATCAATGTTATCATTCAAACACCATACGGTTAATCTACCATCAATGTTATCATTCAAACACCATACGGTTACTCTGCCTCCAATGCTATCATTCAAACACCATACGGTTACTCTGCCTCCAATGTTATCATTCAAACACCATACGGTTACTCTGCCATCAATGTTATCATTCAAACACCATACGGTTACTCTGCCTTCAATGTTATCATTCAAACACCATACGGTTACTTTGTCATCAATGTTATCATTCAAACACCATACGGTTACTCTGCCATCAATGTTATCATTCAAACACCATACGGTTACTTTGTCATCAATGTTATCATTCAAACACCATACGTTTACTCTGTCATCAATGTTTTCATTCAAACACCATACGGTTACTCGGCCTCCAATGTTATCATTCAAACACCATACGGTTACTCTGTCATCAATGTTTTCATTCAAACACCATACGGTTACTCTGCCTCCAATGTTATCATTCAAACACCATACGGTTACTCTGCCTCCAATGTTATCATTCAAACGCCATACGGTTACTCTGCCTCCAATGCTATCATTCAAACACTACATGGTGACTCTATCGTGACTCTAATCAAAGAAACACAACAAGGTTATGATATAAATTGGTTTAAATTTCATGCAATAAGAAATACAATGAATCCCAAATGAAAAAGTAAAAACTGCCGCAGAAAATTGTGTCTGATTATTATTGAAGTACATTTCCAATTAAAAAATGGGTCGTAGACGCGTTTTTCACAAATAATTCTATTCAACATAAAAAATAAACAGGATACTTGTGCATATAAAATATCGTAATATTTCTATAAAACTAGATAATTCTGAAAGAATAAATGTATGACCATGAATATCTCTAAACAGCTTTACTGAGTCAGTGTTCACCGTTACGATGACGAGGGTCCTTATTTGACGAAATAACCTTTTTAACTGAATAGTCAATTTGTGTTCTGTCAAATTCACTAGTGTGACATATATAGTTTGCTTAAAACGTTATTAGAATCCAATCATGTGTACTAACTAGCAGGCTGAAGCGTCAACCAACCACAATTAAGTTTGAACTTGACTGAACTTTGGCGCCCGCTAGTAACCGTCTACACTCAGAGAAATGAATGGGATTTTGCCCAAATAGCGATGCACTTTTTGCCCTCTGTAGGTCAGGCAAAAGGTCGAATCAGTGCTACGCATAGAAAGTGTGACACTATTTGGAAAATAAGATCCATTCAATTTCAAAAGTGTATCATGTTCAGTCTTAAATTGCCTAGCAAATTACGGACCATGCAGGCAATAAGTCCAGCAGCTATCTCAATCAATCGTCAGTTATGGAAAGATCGGGTTCCAAAGGCCTGATCCCTTGTGAATCAAGTCACGAAAAGTTCAAGAATCGGCAACAGGCCATGGGCCTATTTCTTCAACGCCGACACGTCTATTCTATTCTATTTAAATCTCATGTGTAATATTCGCGCCTCAATCATTGGATGTCAACATTCTAATAATGTTTCTGTTCTCTTACTTCCGTATTCTATTATGAAGAGGAATTCCAGTAGAAATTATCGGGTTGGCCGATTATTTAAGTTCGCCAAGTTTGGAGCAGAGGGTAGGGGGTTCCACAATCTACTAGTTCAACCATGGGGGGTTCGAACCCTGCAACTCTTGCTGAAAATTTTGGCTGAAATCCGTGAGAGCAACGTAATTTAAATGCAGAACAACGTACCTCAATTACACTACTATACTTTTATATTACAAAATTCAGTTTGTACTATTCTAAGGTTATGCTCGTGAATAACATTTCATTAGAATCACCAATGTTCTCTTGCACATATGAACTAGTCATTACCCTTCAAACCTTAATGTAACAAAAGTGTTACTACGTCGATACGGTAAACAGCCACAATAGCATTTATAAAAAATGATTGCTGTCAACACATAAATATTTATATTTAATTTCCACTTAGAAGTATAGGCCTAACGAATCCAGGACAGTGCCCTTAATACAAGCCTGATCGATCGGCCTCATCTGTTGCCTGCTCTCAAGAGCGCCCCCCTCGCACGTGTGTTGACCTACAGGGGAGCATCGATCAGACCTTCACCTTCACCAGCAAACCTTGACGACAAGGACGTTACGAGAAACGTAGTACAATTGTGGTTTAAATTCACGGCACGACCTCTAAAGGCATAAGTTGGGCAACAACCTTGCAAACTGGAAGATTAATCGTAAATTGTTTGGCGCTAGCATATAAGGCTAAACTTAGTCAAGAAAAAATGGAATCGGCTGAAGACGAGACGTATATTAAATTTGGTTAAGTAATTGGTCGTCTAGACTCTGTTCTACTAACTTTTCCTCGGCAAGATGATGGAAAATTCGTATTTAAAATACGTACAACCGCAAATTTCTGGATTTGGGACTTCTCAAAAAAGATAAATCAACTAATTATAACGATCTTCAAAGAATAGTTTCAGGACTGTCTTCAGAAACACAAACTTTTTTCCAATACAAAATGAGAGGTTGAATAAATCGAACGCTAGAAACATTTTCAACACCATACGGATTAACAAGGAATGAAATCAAAACAAGAGTACCGCAGCTCACGGCAAACTCTTTGTCGTGGTTGGTGAAATTTCGGGCGAAGATTAAAGTAGAGCGGATCTATGAGGTTAAATTTGAGCAAACCATTGAGAGCTTAGATTAGAGAACAAGTCACGACGATATAGTTCTCCTTTCGCTTAAGATAAATAGTCTAAACTCTATATCTTTCGTAAATACTGAACGCAAAACGAAAGTTCGAGTGGATTGAATAAACTTTAGATTTTCACAAGAACATCTTTGAACGAGCTCATTCTTCCGCGAAAGCTTTGCTTGTTGTTCAAAATCCCTTCCTCCAGAAATTGCATCCGGGTAAAGTGAAACTAAAGACATTTCTTCAATGGTTTAATTTGTCTTTGATAATTGCAAACCATCAAATAAATTTCTTCAGCCTTCTTTGTTCCTCGTATTTCAGTCTTTCCTGTAAAAGAGAAGATGGAACGTGAAAAAAAAAATAAATGGAAGCACATTGGGCTACTAGGTAGTTCTTCACATGGAAGGATGAGGAGTGCAAGACAGGTTTTATTAAACGTAAAAGGAATTTACAGTAAAGGAGCATAATTCAAGTAATAAAAATAAGAAGGAAACTGATATTAATATGGGATATTAATAAATATGCTTTACCAATAATATTCAAAAAGACCACGAAGAGACCCAAAATGAAGAAAAATGGCATACAAATACCGCAGATTTCTGATAAATAATAAGGATTGATTTCAATATTTTTTCTTTACTTACCTTCTCACCGACGGACGGATTAACGTATGCCAAAGCAGCTTCAAAATGCCGAGCATAAACGACGTACGGTCCTTCATGAAACGGGTTCAGCTCAACGGGCGTTTGATCATTCTTATCAGCTTCTGTAACACGACTGGTAACGCCTTCAGGTAAAATATTCGATGGGGCAACACTGCCAACTTCTGGTTCATTCATGTTAGAGCAGGAATTAGCGTCTTCATCTTCCATAGTTGCCCAGCTGCGGTCATTGCTGTTATGAGATGCGACTTCATCAACTTCTCCCTCTTCCATGTGGCATGTGTCGTCAGTGGTTTTCACTTCGTTGCTGCTGGGCTTTTGATCTCCCGAGAGGAGCTTATCGTCGGTTTGCCTTTGATCTGAATTGATCAAGTTGTTCGTAAAGACATCGTTTGACAATGAATGTGTAGCTTGTTTTTTGCGCCAGGCTTTAAGTTCTTCGAACGCCTCAGTGGAGGCCATCTCAACGAGGTGTCGGCAGTCTGCTCCCGAGAAATTATCGCAGCGCTCGGCAATGTTTCGCAGATTCACGTCAGAAGCCAGGGCGGGTAAAGTCCCATTCTGAAACGCGGGTGAAACTGTCAGCGTCATAGATATAAGGAGGGAGTTATTATTTTATCCTATTGGGAGCCTAGGCACTAGTGGAGTATAAATTTATTCAGGAGATAATGAGAAAAGCGATTGTATACAATGGATCTTGTAGTGAAGAAGAAAATCGGAGTTCGCACTTCTTGTCCGTTGAGACACCAACACAAAATATGACAATTATTTCTCAAGTGCCTGCAACTCTTCAAAAATAATGCAATGTAAAAATATAATACAACCTTTTTTTAAACCAAGGAGATCACTGAATACTTATTTTTTCTTTAGTTTACCGATTACGAACGGAAAAAATGCTTGCAATTTTGAACGATACAGTTTATACTTGTGTTTGTGTTGCACTTAGAAAAAGTGAATATAAATGACATTCAAAAATTACGAGATAACAAACAAAAATGTACTCGACAGTATGAAATTTCCGATCGCGAAGTTTCACTATTCAAATGAATAAAAGCGACAATAAACAAAATACATACGATCCACTGTTAAAAATGATGGAATAATAAAACAAAATAAATCAGGCAATAAGTAAGTAAGGATAGTTGGTAAATAGACGCGGTATTACGTTTAATTGCTTTAAACACCTTAGTAGCAGCCCTGAGAACAGCTTCTCTGCCGGCGATGTCTGGCAAGCCAACGTAAAGAAGCGTGTCAAAGCGGCCTGGCCGCAGCACGGCGGGGTCCAGCACGGCAGGCAGGTTGGTAGCCGCCATCACGTATACGCCGCTGCGCTCCAGGAAGCCCGACATCTCTGTCAGCAGGGTGTTCACGATCGTCGACTTGCTGCCTGACTGGAAGTTCAGAATCTAATTAGTATGCATAAAGTTTGTGTTGTTAGTGCATTCATTCCAGTGACTTGCGGCCTGACTGTGTATTCAGAATGTAATCAATAAAGTTTGTGTTGTTGGTGCATTAAAAACTGCGATTTGCTGACTGACTGTATATTTCAACTGAAATTAGGATGCAAATGTTTGGGTTTTAAGGGCACTTAAACATTTAACTAAATATAGTTTATTATCGTGTGGTCAACCGACAAATAGAACTGATTAGCACTTGAATGATAGCAAGTGCTTTGATCCGAGAATATTTTTTTTATTTTTACTAGGAAAAATTAAAGTAGTTACAAATTTAACACAAAAAGCTCAAATGAAATGTGGTCGATCATAGAAAAAAAATTCATGTACGTGAATCCCATTGAATTGATCTAGAATATCATACAAATATTTTAGACGCTGAGGGTGAGTATGACGGTCAGTCCTGCTAGACAGCTAGAGTATAATTATAAGCCAGTAGCGATTGTCTAAAAATATCAATCGGCTTTCTTCCCACCTCAACGCCAGTCTTGGAACGTTTTGGACACAGAGAGTCAAATTCATCAAAGAATATGACACACGGAGCTACGGAGGCCGCTCTTGCGAACACCACCCGTACGGCTCGCTCGCTTTCGCCCTGGTACATGGACAACAAGTCGGGGCCGTTCACGATGAGCAGGTTCACGCCTGCTTCGTTTGCAACGGCTTTGGCGAGAAGAGTCTTGCCACAGCCTGGAGGTCCCCACAGCAAAATACCTGGAAAGAGATTAACATTTTTTAGGCTAAGAAACTCTTATCAATAGAAGATGCGGCCAAAATGGACATGCGCTTCATGCTAATAATTTGTTAATAAATTTATAACTCGCATGCATGAAACTTGCTACAAGTTTATGATAAAAAATAATACGACTCGTTATTCGTACACAGTGGAACCAAGATGTAGGAGTTGTACAACGACATCATAAGTGAAGTGGTTTTGAACACCTTCAATCAAGATAAGTAAAAGTCTAATCTATATTCAAGCTCATCGAAAATGTTAATTTGAGATTACCAAGACAGTTGAGTACCGCAAATAACTATACTAAAGCTCACCAGAGCTGGTCTTATTGTATTTAGCAAGGAGGTCAGGTTCCTTGATCGGGTCGAGCATCTTTCTTCTGAGCTCCTCCCTGACTTCGCTGAGACCACCAACATCCTGCCACGTCGTCTCAGGCACGGAAGGGAAGCCTTCATTCTTCAGCACAGGCTTCACATGCTGAAAAAAACATACATATTAACATATTCTTTTTATTTTAACTTTAACCCATTTTACTGTGGAAGCTACTGAATTGAAAGAAACACGAATACTTTTATATATAATCAAAGTGAATTTCCCACAGTAGATTTGAATTAAATGCCTCACAATTGTCACCTCACAATAAATTATGTTTTAATAATAATGAGGTAGTTTCATATACTGAATAGTTAGTTTAGTATATATAATATGATATGAATATAATATTGCAATGTAGTCAAGAGTGTTAGTCGTCACCTTGAGAGCATCAGTAATATCTTGTGCTGAAATGATGACGGGTGGAGGCTGAATGCTGTGGCTCGGCAGCTTTCCTCTTCTTAAGGCCTCCGACACGGAGCTTTTAAGAGACCTGAAATTAAATACAGTGAATGAATTTCTTCAAGATATAGTGGATGTTAAAAGGAGGAATGAAAATTTAGGTGTTTGGAACGAAAACTGATAGTTCAAGAAAGGAAAAAAATGTTTTCTATCATGATCCTATTTTACATTTTAGAACTTATTATAACATTATTATGTTATTGTCTCAATATATCAGTAAGAATGAAAAATTCTGAGAATTTACAACGGATATGAGTATAAGTTACCTCTTAAGAGCTGTTCTTCTAGCAGAATTCAAAAGCCTCACAAAATCACCGGCCAAAAATCCAGAACATTTCAACCCCCAGTAAGTCAAGTCGACAGAAGCGTCTATTTTCTCTGTAGCGAATATACTCTGGAACAAAAAACACAGGCAATGATCTTCATGACTTTTTCCAATACTTTTTACCACACGAGTAACGATATAGCAGTTCTGATTAATTACTGAAAAGTTAACGTAACCAAAGCATGACATATTAATTTGATTTTATTAAAATCAAATATGCTGGTTTACATACAAAAATTCACTGACAAGGTAAACTCATTTTCTTTAATGGTGTTGTCCTCTACCAGAAAAAAACTGTCATGGAGCAAAAAGGGGATTACAAAACTAAATGGCAAATGAAGCTTTAACGAAATTTTCTAGAAGCCAGATATAGAACAAATGTTAGGCTTATTTATCTTATAGCGTGTATATTTTTTACGATCAGCCAATTCGATACGTGAGCTCATATAACAGATTGTCTTGCAAGCTGAAATAAGATTCCGTCATTTTGACAACCAGAAAAAAATTAGATTACAAATGTTTCCATTTCACAGTCCAAAACAAAATAATTAATCAATATGAAAGCAAGTGACACAAAGAGCCCGCAATTGTGACACTCAGTCGTGACTCGTTGGATGATCCCTAACAAGTAGTACATTGCCTATGAAGCATAAATCTCTTTTTCGTTGGAATCAACATCAAAACAACAACAACTGTTCTAAGAGGACCAAAACAGAAGCTTTGTTGAAGCTTTGCTTTCATTACATTATTATAAAGACAAGCAGTCTGAAAATGAGAGCCTAAATAATAAAAATGACCCCGAACCTTAAGGATGGCATGTCGCTGTTGTGCAGTAGGCGGCTTGATGAGGATCTGCTCAGAGAAAGCATCCAGGAGTCGCTGGTCCAGGAGCTCCATGTGGGTACACTCTGCCACCACCAGGAGCGGGTCTTCACTTGACTCACGTGTCAGGTCTGATGAGATTAATAGCATAGTAACGTGGGGTTAGTGCTGATACTTATAATATATTAACGAGGTTTATCGTCTTGATTAATGATGTTTGTGAAATTAGAGTCGATTGTAAAAGCAATATCATGGATTAATTTGGTTGTAGTACTTCAAAGGTAAAACAATAACAAATGTAGAGCTTAAAACACTCACTTTTGATCATTGTGCACAGCATGCGAGAAATGCCTCTGTCCAAGTTACGAGGGCCTTGACTGCCACCATCTTTGGACAGCTGATCTAGCTGAAAATAAAGTGTGATTAAGGACACAATAAAGCACTATAAAGTTTGGCATTAGGTTTATGAGAAATAAAATGATCAACATGCTCATGCAACTGTTTGAGTGTGTATAGGTTTGGGTTTCCGTTTTCAAGGCTAGACTGTGTCAAGCCATGACCCAAAGCAAGGCTTGTAAGACTCCAGTTTAATTATAATTTTCTTTTGGTTAGGTTTATATAACCTTGCCAAGTCCAGGATAGATTTGCACATTATTTTTGTTTATTCTATTTTGCACGTGAATCTAGTTTCACGCTACTGGTCAATCACTTTACATCCTTACATGTTAGGTTTGCTCCAGCCATTGAATGATTTATTATGTCACTATTTGGTTCTTCGCCCCCGAGTTACATTTTAATGCTATTCTACTTTATTATCTGGTTGCAGCCAGACTGTAATCATGATATATTGGTAGCTAAAAAACAATAAGGATTGGCTGGCCCCAACATTCTTAATCCTTATTACAGCAAAATCCTGCACATTCATAAAAAGTTACATGAATTGTGTGAAGGAGTTTTATGATGAACCAGTCAAGGAATACTGTTGTTCCCTAAAAATTGTTTAAAAATTAATCAAATTAGTCCATAAGGACCATAAATAACAAGATTTTAGAGATTTGGTTCTCATACAGCGAATAAATGGACTGTTTTCCAAACAAACCTGGGAGATTAGCACCAGAGCTGGTCCACCAGTAACTGCATTGAAGAACTCCTCTGCAATTTTCTTCTCCGGAGAGAGGGACGAGGATGTGGCAATTATGTCACACAATCGCAACTGGATAACAGGTAAAGATGCTGCCTGCAAAAAAAATATTCAGTTGAATTATTACCCTAACTCGCATTATTATTTGCAAGCACAGGATTCCCACAAAATTTAGAATAATGACAATTCAGCAAATAATTTGTATGCAAGGGAACTGATAATAATGGAACAAGCAAGTGTTTTAAAGGCAAATGTTTCAACTCAATTGTAGTTTCTTCAGATTCCATTTTAAATTGATGAGTCATATAAATTTATACATACATTACTCATAAGGACATATTGAAATTCAAGAGCATATTCAACAATGATACACGGATTTGGCTTCATTTTAAATCTCCAGGAAATCTCAGAAAGTAAACTTTGACAATTTTAGGAACTCTTCCCTTCTTTCCTGATATTTCATCAACTTATCTAAGCTAAATAATCATTAAATTATAGGATCAATACTTAACTGCGTTAAGGTTGAATTGTAAGATTTAACAAGCAGTACTCACACCCTGCATCACACTTTTTGCTGTTAAAAGTTTAAGTTTCTCTACCTTGAATGTAACTATTTGTGTTTCAAGACAATCACAATTCTTGTTAAATGTTCAAGTTTGTCTGTTTTAAACGAACTGCTTGCTTATGCAGCAAGACAATTACAATTCTTGTTAAATTTTCAAGTTTGTCTAGTTTTAGAGAAACTGCTTACGTGGCAAGACAATCACAACTCTCACCGTAGCCATGGCAGAAGCGAGAGCAGTTTTTCCAGCTCCGGGCGGCCCAGAGATCATGAGAGAGACAGGCTGAGGCTGAGGGAGCCTCAACAGCATCAATACTGAGAACACTGACTGCGGAAAAAGTCAAGATATTATTGACATGAAGAAAGTCAAACAAATATTTGGGGTACAATTTAGCTTCTAATTCCTATCACATTGACTAGAAACTTATAATCACAAGCTAAATTAAATAAATCAAATCAACAATGTTATATACGTTATTAGCAAAATGATCACCATTTCATAACAGGCTTGCATAATTGTACGCAGCAAACTATTTCACTTGAAATATGAATTAGTCTAAAAGATTTTGCAGCAAAAATAACAAAAATCTAGACCAATAGTCACCTCCATTATTGGTTCTAGTCCACCCAATTGTGATAAGTCTAGATCTTGCATGCTCTCTGCCACCATTTTGGAGAGCATGGCCTTTTTGTTAAACCTTTCACTGATATCTTCTTGCAACAAGCGTTTCTTGACATTGCTGGTCAATGCAGGTGTAGAGTTACTGCAGGGCTGAGATAGTAAAGCAGGGGTGTTGCACTGATAATCCTGTGACAACACATCAGACCAAAGTCAAGAATATATGGTACCATAAAACAGAGTGACTTGGACCATTGAGGGGGTGACTTGGACCATTTTGACACTTAAGAGAAGAAAACCTTATCCTCAAAAAGTTCCTGCCTAAGAAAAATTGTGTTGACAGCTCTTGAAGTACCATGAGATAACCTACAAATGCAATAAAAAGATATATTTCATACATTTACTATGTAATTATTGGTGGAAAATGGTCCAAGTCAATGATCAAAGTTTTAATGTAACTAAAGTAAATGAAATAGTATTACTTATTAAATTTTCACCAGACCATCTTATTTGTACAGTTAAACTATTAAACAATAAAAATGAATTAGTGGGCATGAAAACTGCTACAAAATGACAAACAACAAGCAACTATTCAATTTCAGGCATCTAAAACCAACAATGAAATGCACAAATTAATATACACTCATCTATCCACAGAGCATCTTGCGACTTTAAAATTCTCAAACTACTTCCAAGTAAATTAGACTCCTGCTCAACAAACAAGAACTGAAATAAATAATTATAAAAAAGTGAGGCATTGAAGTACGATCTGCAGTTCAGGAATAAGTTCAGGAACGAACTGCAGACTAGTATTTTTTTGTGATGGTAATAGTGGCCAAAATGAAGCTGAGCTCTACTGCCTCTACATGGGGTATTGATTGGCACATGAGCTCATTGGAGCTAAGGAAAATAAATCATTCTTTTCAATAATATTTCCTTCCCTATTGTTGACTAAACAGAGGAAAATCAATTTTGAATTGGATTTCTCTGAGGATGAGCATAAATAAATAAATGCTTACATATGATCAAACTTATAGCCAGTAAGAAATTATGTTCAGTATTTACCTGAGCCTTTGAATACACAATTGAGACATCATCATTGCACTGAGAATCAGCTGCACTGCCATCTACATCGATTACGAAGCAGTCATCCGAAAATTCCTGTATTAGAGAGGCATTTTTCTTCTTTTTGAGTCTTTTCTTGGGCTTCTGATTATTAGCAGGTGATTTTTCTGCATTTTGCCTTGACTTTTCAAAGTCATTAGAGTTGTGCTTCATGTTTGGCAAAATATCACACTTTGAACTCTTCTTTGGATTTGCATCATTTTCAATAAATTGCATAAATTCCAGTGCTGAAAGAATAATTCAAGTGTTTTATAAATTTACAAACGCAAATTTGAATGAATTAGAACATAGCAACAATGCTTTCAAATTGGCAAACACATTATTCAATCATACCCATTCAGCGTTCCCAAATTAAAATGCATAATAAGTTACACACCATGAAAATTCAACAAAAATGACCAAAAGTTACCATGAAATTAAAAAACAAATCAATTGCAATTCATGACTGAGTAAAGCAGATTTTTATGATTGATTATAGTGAATATTCAATTACAGAGAGTAGTTGGCAATTGAAGAATGTTCATTAATTTTAAATTTAATTAATCAACAATCTTTCAAATTGAAAATTGAGCTCAAGTATTTACACCACAACTAAACAAAATTATTTTACAATGTAATTTTTGGGAGAGAATCAGCAAAGTATTTGAACTAGGGACCATCATCTTATATAGGTATATAAATTGTATAGAGCAGGATCTTGAGAGAATATAACTTTCAAACAAATAGAGCTTGTTGTCATAGTGAATTTAATTGTGTTACCGTATCCATACTAATTAAAGACATTATTTGTCCTAAACAAGTAGGTACATACATACCTGTTTTGACTGTGTTTTTGAAGACAGGATACTGGACTTGTTGGAACTGAGGGTTGTGATGGTAGATGAATTTTGACATTTCATTCAAATTGCAGGACAAATGCTCTTCAACATACTGAAAAAAATTGTAGATTTTAATACAGACATATACTGTATAAATTTCTTGTTATGGCATATATGATATTAGATCAGAATTAAAATTGACTAGACAGTAAATTACACAGGATAAAGAAAAATAAGATTTTAATATGATTTTTTTAGGATGGCCTGGTATATATGGTAGGATTTAAATTTTATTTTAGATTTTCCAAAAAATTTTAATGAATAATGGATGATCTTTAATCTTACAAAATTACCATTCAATCTAGAAAACTAACACAATAACCATTTAAATATTCAAACTCAGTTATAACATTATGGCATACAACAAAGCCTGAATGACTTAACTTTAAAAAAAAAACATAATTAAGCAAGTAAATTCCAAAAAATTATAGGGAAAACTTATTCATTAATTAATATCCACTGCTTAAATATGAAATGGGAATTAAATTATGCTGATTTTGATGCTAATGTCTCATCAATGATCTTCAAATATTTACCCACTCTTTACACCCTGGACCTGAGACCTGGCATGGCATAGTAATGGAATTTTCCCACTTATTACTGGAGTCTAACAGCTCCAAAGTGACAAATTTTTACTACATTTGGAATTGGATCTTTGTGGCCCAACAATGCGCTTTTGAGAAAAATTAGATAGGAAGTAATCCATTTAGCATGAATATCAAAGTTCCAAAAATGGCAGAAAAGCTCTAGTCACTTTTAGAATATAGGGCAGCAGTTTCACAAAATCATAGGTAATAATATGCGTTTCAAAATTACTTTTTAAAGACAACTTTTCTAAAGAATCCAGTGTCTCCAATGTTATACATGTACAATGAATTTCTAATTTTATTATGAAATATTTCAAACATTAATTTTTAAATTTTATTTTAAAATTGAAAAATTTTTAAAAAATTTTCAAAATCATTTTTTTTGGCAATTGATACATGCATTGTCTCCAACTTTACGCAAGTGTGCAAAATTTGAGATCAATTGGACAGGTAGAAGTGTGTTAAATATCAATTATAATTTATGTAGCAGAGAATTTTTTTTTTCATTTTTTAATATCAAAAATAAAATTTTTTAAATTTTCAAAATTATTTGTTCCGTCAATTGATTCATGCATTGTCTCCAACTTTACATAAGTGTGCAATATTTCATATCAATTGAAAAGATAGAAGTGTGTTAAATATTGATTATAAGATTTGTAGCAAACAAACAAACAAACATGAAGTGAAGTTAAAGAGAATTGTTGTAAAAACAATAGTTTCACCAAATGATTTGAAAAACTGTAGGTAAAATATGACTTTTTCTTATTTTTCACTGAAGAATTTGGGTATAGACCATAGAAATGGATGAAATTGGCCAGATTCACTGGCATTTCTACCTAATCACAAGTGGCATCTACCCAATTGTTAACTTTTTTGTGACTTGATTGGTAGATATATTTCATGCCAGGTTTGGCATGGAATATATCTACCTATTGAGCAGCAACTAAAGCTTTCCAGCCAATTTTAGAGCTTCAAGATTCCTGATAGATTAATTAACTCCTATTTAATAGTTGATAAAAATTTCAAATTGTGCTGCAAGATGGCAAATCTTGCAGTAGGAAAATGCCAATCCTGTCAGACACTGCAAGGTAGCAAGGCTGTATCAGAGCCAAGGTGCTAAAAGTGGGTGAATATCTGAAGATCTTTGGTGACGAATAAACAACAAAATTTACGCCTTCCAAAAATCTTGCCAAACAATTTTGATTTAAATTATTGCACTTTTCTTTTCAAGAATTTTTGGCAATGCTAAACACTGAACTGGAGGTAAACCAGGTGAGCCGCAACTGGCAGTGTACCTCCATCCACTTGGTGAGCTGAAACTGGATTAATGGCTTTATGGATTTGCCAGCCGTGATTCCAGATCATTGAGCTATGAATTCCATATCTCAGCCATCATTGGCCATGAAGAGCCATTTACGAGTCGCAAACTTATGTCAAATTTTTGTGTACGTGTTAAACCAAATCTTTAATTTTACCCTAAAAACAGTCAAACAGCAACAATAACATTTGTCTTTACTTTAGCGGTAACTGAACATGCGATAATGCAGTCTGACCACTCTGACGTTACTGCAACTAGGCAATCTTCAATGAAACGTATTGGGTAGACTTGTTTTCATTACGTTCTGCAGGATATTTTGGCAGGAGCGTCGAAGTACTGCAGATTGCAGAAGTTGAAAATTTTATGAAATAACATGTTAGCAAAGTGCAAACCACAATTTTTTAATTAAAACAAAAATACATGACATTAGAGCTGCAATATTTCAGAAAAAGTAGGACTTTTCCCAACCTAAGGTACACCAGTAGCTGGATTGTTTATAAAATTTTAAGTTTCTAGTTGGCCGGATGAGGCTGTAAAGCATGCTCCACAATTTGATAATTTTGGCTGCAATGCAATTGTCTACTGCAATACAATGGGTGTTAAAGATACATTCATGACTCATCAAACTGATCAAAGTTGGTTTTGTAAGAATTTTGATGAAAATTATATTTGCAATGCTGTTAACACATATTGATGACTGCTGGCGCTTGGCAACTTGGCAATGCATTTTAACATGATTTTGGGTATTATTGGCTTCTTATTTGGCAATATTTTTGGTCTACAAGATCAAAAATTGGCAATGCATTCATGGCGGCTTCACCAAGCTCAGCATGCTGATGCCGGTATGAGCCTGGCAGGCTGACATCAAAGTAGAATTGCCAATCTTTTCATATAGAATCTTTTTCATTTATAGACTTCCTTCAGATAATGTATAAATAAACACTTTTATACAAAAGCTCAAGGGCTTTTTCTCGTTCCTAAGGGAAATCACACAAAGAGACATGCACTGTGCGTCTGTGCCCATGGCCCATCCCCCAAAAACAATTTTCAGAACCAGTGCAGTAAACTGTAGGCATAAAAAATTGTAAAACCCGCAGAAGTGCCCAATATTTCTCATAGGAAATTTCTTTTATTGAAATTGACAAGTCAATTCACAAGAAACATTTGATTTCAAACATAAATATATTGATTATTGACGTATTGGGGATGCTCAAGGCTCAAGTCAACTTACTTGCTCCACTGCAGCTTGCAGCCTAGCAGAATACTCCATCTTAGATTATTTTGAAGAGAGCTCTTCCTAAATATATCATTATCTAATATCTAGAAAATACTAGAATGGAAACAAACTATAAGTAGGTATGTGCACAAAGTATGCATGAATGTAAACAATGCTGGCAAAATGGCAGAAATCCTCTTTCCGCATTGGCGCGCTCAAAGTATTTAATTTTGAAAGTCCCACCCAAATTTTAGCCAAATTTTATTGACTTGTGTTTGGAAATTAACTAAAAAAAAATTTGAACTATGATGACACCTTTTTTTTCAAGAAATATCTATCAAGTACCTGCTTAGCTGGGATGTGCAAGGGGTAACATTTGTGCTAGAAATAAACATTGATATCATATTTTGAAATTAATGAAAGATAATGTTAAATCAAGATTATAGTTTTTAGAGCATGCTCTTGAAATTTCAGAGCTCTACAGCCATTCTGATAGTTTTTCTACCATTCCAAAAATGCATGGTAGTCGTGCAGTTTACGTTCAGTTCAATTGTGAGCCAGTGAGGTACGCTGGTTCTGGACTACTGCCAAGACTGAGACATGATAGGGGACATGAGACAAGGCACGAGACAAGATATGAGACAAGACATGGGACAAGACATGGGACAAGACATGGGATGAGACATGAGACTGAGACATGGGACAAGACATGAGACTGAGACATGAGACTGAGACATGAGACTGAGACATGAGACATGAGACTGAGACATGAGACTGAGACATGAGACTGAGACAGGAGTTGAGACATGAGACAGGAGTTGAGACATGAGACAACTCAGACAAGATATGAGATTGGACATGAGAAGAGAAGATGAGACATCAGACATGAGACAAAACACAATTCACAAGATGGGACAAGACATGAGATGAGACATGAGGAGGCATGAGACGAGACATGAGGCATGAGACAAGACATGAGACATGACATGAGGAGGCATGAGACAAGACATGAGACAAGACATGAGACGAGACATGTGACGAGACATAAGACAAGATACGAGATGAGACATGAGATGAGACATGAGATGAGACATGAGAGGGGACATGAGAGGGGATGTGAGAGGGGACATGAGACAAGATGTGAGACGAGGCATGAGATGAGGTATGAGACAAGGCATGAGTCAAGGTATGAGACAAGCTGACAAGGCATGAGTCAAGGTATGAGACAAGGCATGAGTCAAGGTATGAGACAAGGCATGAGTCGAGGCATGATGCAAGGCATGAAACGAGACACGAGACAAGACAGGAGATCAGGATTGGAATTTTTCTATTTGTTTCTGAAATCTCGCGGCTTCAACATGACGAATTTTCAATATATTTGGAATCTCGCGGCTCGATATCACACTTTTGTTAACATTTGGATAGGAGGTAATTCATCTGACGGAAATCTCGCGGTTTCAGAAATGGCGGGAAACCTCTAGTTGCAGCCCTAAAGGCAGATGTTTTCAATGCTTGCAGGAGATGAGACATGACAGGAGATGAGATGAGACACAAGACGAGACACAAGACGAGACATGAGATGAGTATTTAACTGACTCTGACTGTTACTGACATGATGATTAGGTAGTACTATTTAATACTGACATGATGATCAGTATTTAATATTATTATTAATATCAAATAGGTATTCACTATTCACTAATATTTATTATATTTAGTTAAGAATTAACATTAATAAGAAATAAAAATTAATAATATTATTAATAATACTTAATAGTAAATTTTATATGTTTATTATATTTAATTTCTTATTTTTTAAGTTCAATTATGGTGCCAAAACCATGAAACTGAAATTTATTCTATCAAATTCTGCCTTTAAGTTAGGTATAACATTCATACTAGGCTATCTATCTGTTGCATATGGCCCTTTTGTTGGTCCTTTTTGGGGTCATCATCATGGCGTGAAATTGAAAAAGGAAAAAATTCATGACTTTTTCATTTTTTCAACCTAGCCTACTCCACTCATAGGTACTTATATATTTTTCATTTTTTTCCCCTTTTCAATGGTGCAATTTTTATTATGATCAAAGGTAAATTTTTTTTGTGCACATACCTACCTAGTACCTACTATAGTATAAGCGCCCATAAAAATGTGATTCTGACATTCTGTATTTTTAGAACCTGAAACGTTTCGTAAACAGTGTTCAAATTTTTCCGGTAAGAACTCATAGAACCAGCGACATTTTGTATTTAGGCCTATTCGTGTCCGTAGCTTGAAAGTTGTGACAATAGCGAAAGATCAATGCGTTTCAAAAGGAAGCCAGCAGCCAGAGAGTTCCATAAGCATGCTTAGTAGCTATACTGTTTCTAGTTTCTACTGTCCAAGAGTACACGTCTTCGTCGTCGACACATTTGTATCTGAGAGCGGAGAACATACCGCAGATCACCAAGAAGTATTAAAAATTTGTTCAAGACTGAAAATGTTGTTTATTCAGATTTTTTTGTTCAAGACGTAGAAGTGTTGTTTATTCAAATTTTAGGCATTAAGTACAGAATTACGGAGAATTGCATGAAATTTTTCAATAAATAAATAAAAAAATATACAACCTGAGGAATGATGGTTTGATCACCATCTACCGTATGTGTTACGTTTGCTAGTCGTATGACTTCAAAGTCCAAGCTAGCTAAGGAGGAAGATGGGCAGAGATGAGATTATAGGTTTGAAGAACTGTATTTGGTGGAATCTGGTATACAACTGAGGCATAAAGGCTTGCTGGCCTTACATGACCTATGCTGGCATTGACAGTAGTAGTAGGCAGTAGGCCTACTCGAATTTGATCCTAATACGTAAACACGTACCAGTATGCGAGAAATCTATGTAGTTGGGCTGTATCAAAATCTATTCATTCACTTATATTAATGATGCAAACTAATCCAATTGATCAGTCATCAGTAACGAATCAACACAATCTAGGTAATTTTGAAACGGTGAACGGCAGTAACATCAAAAGAGTACTGGGGGAAGGAATAGCTGTTCCTGATAGAGGCTTGCAAGGCCAACTTCACAATGACGTCTTATTTGCTATTATCGCTGGATAATAGCATTTTTCTAATATTCGAAGCTGCAAGCAACAGGCCAAATTTTTGGAAATCAGTGGACAGTAGCCTGAGTAGGGCTACGGGTTTCGACATATGTAATTAGTGATAGTACTGGGGGATTGGGCCGCATGGGATAAGTTTTCATAGGCTCCCGCAAATCATCGAAGATTGTATGGGGAGGAGTACAATAAATGGGGTTTAGGTTCCAAAAATATTTCATATTGTCCTGCTATCAGTGTCGATTCATTCCAAATTACCTTTACTATTTTCAGATCGATTGCAGCAGGAGCAGGTATTTATTTGAACAAAGATTAGAATGCGTTTCGAGAGAAAAGGGTCATAATATCCTATTAAGAATAAGCACCTCAGACGTTACTGGGGTGCGTATTCTTAACAAGAACATTACTGAGGTGCATATTCTTAGCTAGGTTAGTTGAATGAATAATTCAAACAAATTAGGTCTATCTAAACATATTATTGCAAATTGCAATTCAATTGCAATTCAATGTGAAAAAATACATTGCAAAACATTAAATCCCAAATAACGAGCTAAACATCTTAGTCAGAGTACTGAGCCGCCATATGATCACATAGAGCTTCAATCGCATTTTTTGAGAAGCAATTTCGCCACACAGATTCTTGAAGATTGAAACGTAAAAAACTCTTTTTGCAGCCAAACTTTTTTTTTATCCGGCTCTTCTGTTTATTTCAATATGATTTTATATTATGAGTGTGTATGCCAGTTGCAGGATTAACAAAGTTTAAGGAATGATTTACAGTTCAATGCTTGTATCCAAAGCTTTGGATTTGGTTGTGTGCTTTCCATTCATCACTGTGAATGATAGATCTAGATCCTTTCCGAACAACCTTTTCAATTATTGAAAGAAGAGTAGCAGCATCCCTTTACTAAGGTGCGTTTTCTTAACAAGGTCATACTGGGGTGCTTTTTCTTGACAAGATCAAACTAGGGTGCTTATTCTCAACAAGATCCGGCTAATGTAACATACATTCGACGTCTGCGTGGAGACCTCATTGAAGTATACAGGCAATACCCACGGTTTATACAAGGTCCCAGAAGGAGTCCTAGAATTTGGAACAAAAACCAACACCAGGGGCCACGGCTATAACTAAAAAATATAACTCAGTAGTCAGTACTCACTGCAGTGAGTGACAGAGAGCGCATTTTCTCGTCGACGAAAACTTGAGGTCACGGACAGACGGACGGACAGACAGACGGACATGGCGAGCATAATAGTGCATTTTTTCCATAAATGAGAAAATGCGCTAAAAACTGCGTTGTGAATTCCATAATGCATCCACGCGAAGCATTATGTATCAACATTGCATCCATGTGACAAAATTTCTTCTCGCTTCCAGTCACCGACACGTGGAACAGCCTCAGTGATGGCATCGTTGACGCTCCGAGTGTGAACTCTTTCAAGAACAGACTAGACAAAGCTATGCAGGAGCATATGTTCAGTCTTGAAATGCACCTTACGGACCTGGCAATAAGTCCAGCAGCTACCTCAATTGTCAGTTATATAAAGATTGGGTTCAAAAGGCCGGATCCCTTGTGGAATTAAGTCACGAGAATTACAAGCATCGACAACGGGCCATGGGCCTATTTCTTCAGTGCCGACTCTTCTTTTCTATTCTTATATATTATTCATGTTATTACACTCACATTAATTTATTATTGTTAGTTATGCTTTCGGAATCGATTGTTCTTCAGCTAAATACAGTCAAAAAGCGTTTGTTGTGTATAAAAATCAAGAAAGCTTTAATTAATTAAGCTGCTCGTCGGTAGTAACCAACGAGAGTTTTCTGCCTGCAAGAATGAGCACTGTGTCTGTGTGCACAGAATTAAGGGTACCAACTTAGTTGCTTTGTAGCCACGCGCGAGTGCGGTGTCGAGTCGCTGCCCGAAAGCTCAATCTACGGGCGGTTTACAATGTTTTTTGAAATAATTCCTGTAATTTACTAAGCCCTGGAGTTATTTTGTATAAGTAA